TGAATTTGAAGTTTATTCTGAGAACACTGGAAACTCTGGAAGGAAGGAACTTTAAACAGGATGGTAAGAGGATATCCTTGCCTTTCAGCACGATCACTAAAGAGGGATCAAGATTAGAGTCAGGGAGACCAGCAAGAAAACGTTTGCAGTAATTTGAGCAAGAAATGATGGTGGCTTGAGTTCTTTCAGGAAAAACAATGAGCAGGATTTAGTGATTAATTGGGTGTTGTGAAAGGTTGGGGTGTTAATTTAACACATTATTTAATAGGTGTCAGATCCCACAGACTTTCTTCCATGGAATTATTTTTGACTCAAACAGAAGTTTTATTCATAAAGTCATCAAGATGTCTATAGTCCAGGAAAGGGAGCCTGCATAGAGCTGCCCTACCAATACAATAAAGCTGACTCCATCTTTAGAGTAATTGAAAACACAGCCTTGGGTTTGAGCAAAAGCAGTTTGGGCAGAGGACATGCATGAAAGTGTAAGATTCTCATCCTCAGGGGGTTCTAATGATCACAATCTCACCAGTGCTCTTGAGCACTAAGGATAGAAGTGACAGTTGGCACAAATCCATGATGGATTAGTAGCTATGCATGCGGTTTTGAACTTCAGAATAGCAGTGAGGTCATCACTGTTAGGAAATTTTAAAGTAGTAGAAAATGAGAAAACATACATTTCAACTTATAATTAAAGGCATTTAATTAAGGGTGTTTGGGGGTACTTGTAATTTGAAGAAACTGTTAAAAGAAAAGGGAAAACTAGAGACAACGTACAAACTCAAAAGCAGTTTGCTAAAATGAACGAAGAATCAACAAAGGAAAAGGGAGAGGTCAACATATTCTTATACTGAATTTCAGTTGCTTTTGTATAACAATGTATCTTTTGCGGTAGTTTGTTTTTTTCTTCACTATGTATTCTCTAAGTATGAAAAGAGAAGGAAGAGAAAAAAATATTCTCCTTCAAGAAAACATTTCTGGTCACAACATAATGCTACTCAATCTCTTTATGAACTGCTAAAAACAAAAGCAAAACAAAACAAAACCAGTGTGTGAACTTCTGTTACATACACATGGTACAGCCCTTTTCCTTCAAGATGAAATATTCCACACTTGATGCATCATTTTCTACTATTTACAGTCTGAAGAGAAAAATAACAAAAGGTGATCCTTACAAAAATTTGACTCTCAGGCTAAAATGTATCTTATTTACTTTGGGTTGGTTTAGTTTTTAACATTTTTATTGTGAAATATAAACACACATACAGAAAAGAGATATAGAACAAAATTGTTAAGTTCTGTGATCTATTACAAAGTGTGCATCCTGTAATCATGATCTAGGAATAAATAAAAAATTGCTAAGACCCAAAAGTACTCCTTGTGTACCCCAGTATCTCTTACTTCCTCTTTCTCCAAATTTCCACTACCATAATTTTTTTCCACTTCCTTAATTTTTATGATAATCACATTCATGCCTATCTCTATAGTTACATCACATACATATGAATCACTTAATACCATAATGTAATGTCCGATTTTTTTTTGAAATTCATAAGAAAGGAATCATATGGTAGGCATTCTTTTAGTCCGCAGTCTTTCATTCCACGTTATATTTGAAGCTTTATCCACAGTGTTGTTTGCAGTTGTGTATTCATGCAATTCATAAGAATTGAATGGATGTACCAGAACTTGTTGATCTATTCTACTTTTGATGGACTTTTGGGTTGCTACCAGTTTGGGGTTATTATTAGCAACAACACTACTATAACATTCCTAAGCATGTCTCTTGGTGCACATGTGCTCATTTCCATTGGATATCTACATAGGGGTGGAATTATTGAGTCAACAGATTATATGTAAATTGAACTTCAGTAATTAATGCCAGTAAGTTTTCCAAGAGGTTACCAATTTATACTCCAATCATCAGATTATGAGAGTCCCCTTTGCTCCACCTCCTCACCAACACTTGTGATGGCCAGTTGTTTCCGTTTTAACAGTTCAGGTGGTTGTGTGGGGTTTATTCATTTTGGTTTTATTTGCATTTTCCAGATCACTAACGCAATTGAGTCCTTTATCATATGTTTATTAACCTCTTTGGATTTTCTCTTCTTTGAAGTGCCTATGCAAATCTCTTGCCCATTTTTCTATTGGGATTTCTTTTTTCTTATTGATCTTTAGGCATCTTCTTTTAGATTCAGTATGTGAACCTTCTGTCAGGTACACGTATTGCATATACTATCACTCAGTATGTGACTCACTTCTTTACTCTCTTCATCATGTCTTTTGTTTAAGTTTTTATTTACTAGTGTCTTTTGATAAATGGAGATTGTTGATTTTAATGTAGTCCATTTTGTCAATCTTTTCCTTTATGGTTAGTGCCATTTTCTGCCTTCTGAAAAGTTTTTTCTTACTCCAAGGTCATGAAGATATTCTCTTCAAGTATCTTCTGGAGTGTTTGTTATTATTTGCTTTTCACATTTAGATCTAAATCTACTTGGAATTTATTTTTTGTGTATATATGAAGTAAAGGATAGCTTCCATTTTAAAAACTATTGATATCCAATTATCCCAGTACATTTTACTCCCACTGCTCTATAGAGCTAACTTTTTAATAACTCAATAGTCTATATATGCATAGGTCTGTTTATGTGATTCCCATTCTAATTCATTGCTCTAATGTATCCTTGCACCAATAACTCACTGTTTTAATTACACATTATCATTGTTATATATAGTCAATATTCATTGAGATTTACCCACATATTTGTCCTTTCTATTGCTTTCTCTTTCTTCCTGCATCCCAAACTTTCATCTGAATTTATTTTCCTGCTGCCTGATGATTATCTGTCAGTACAGGTGCTCTCAGTTTTTGTTTGTCTGAAAAATATTTACTTTTCCTTCATCCTTGAAGAATACTTTTGTTGGGTATAAAATTTTAAGTTAGCGGTTATTATTCTCAGGCCCGTAAATATATTACGTGATTCCATCGTTTTTACTTTTCATCTGTTGAGAAGATGGCTCTCTGTCCAATTGTTGTCCTTTGATGACTGTCCTATTTCTCTTGTTTTTTTGAGGGCAGTTGGGATTCAATGGGTTTGCTATGATATACCTATGTATGGAATGTTTTAATGCTGCTTAGAGCTTTTAGGGATTCTTAAATCTGTAGTTCAATACATTTCATCAACAACTATCTCTTCAAATATTTTTTCTGTCTACATTGTCTCTTTCTTCTATGTCTGATGTTTCAAATACTTCCATATTAGAATTCCCACTGCATCTTCTAAATCTTATATCCACTTCTCTGTATTTTTCTTCTTTTGCTCTCTGCTTTCTTCCAGATATTTTTTTCTTTTTTTGTAGCTACTAATTCTGTCTTTGCTGGGTCAAATCTTCTGTAATACCTAAACATTGATTTCTTAATCTTGGTAAATGTGATTTAAATTGCAGAATTTCCATTTAGTCTTTTCTTTATAACTTTCAGTTCTAATTTTTAATCTTGTCTGTTATTTCTTTGATCATAGAATGCAGAGTTATTTTACCGTTATATCTCCATATACTACCAGTATTTGGAGACCTTCTGGATCTGTTTCTTGCTTTTATTTCTGCTGATTTCCTTGAATGTGTTATTTTCTCCTAATGTGACTTATTTTTCATTGTTTACCAGAAATTGTGCAAAATTGAATAAAGAAACATCTTGAGGCTTATGGTGGTGTTATCTTCCTCCAGAGAGGATCTACATTTGCTTTTACCAGGTGCCTGGGCAGTACTGACCAACCTGGGATTAACTCAGTCCAATTTTAAGGATTTCATGGCCTACAGCTATATTTCAGCCACTGTGGAGGTTTTTTTGCTTCTTGTTCACCCTTAAGGTATGGACAAGCAAAAGCAAGAATAATCACCAGGACTCCACTCCTTTGACAGGTTCTGACCACAATCTTTGATCCCTGCTCCTGCTAGTTTGCTGAAAGCGTAGCTTAGCCTCACAACTGCCCCATCTAGAATCAGAAATGTTCCCAGAGGAAAAATGGCCTCAAATCTCAGGCTCACCTTCCCAGGCTCCTATATTTTCTTACGTTCTGTCCCAATAATTCTTTACTATCTTGGCAGGTTTCCCTTTCCTGAAATACACAGTTTGTCCAGTTTGCTCATTTCCTTTATGTAGGAGGTTGATTAAAGCAGAGTAATTTTTTTAAAGCATGAACTTATTGCCTCACCTTTTTAAGAAAAATAAATATATTGAAAGGTAGAATTATCAGCACTTCATAACTTAACTCAAAGCTGGGGAAGTGTTGTGGATAACATTTTTGGGGAAAGTATGAAATATGCAGTTTTTAAAAATTCTGATCCGATTATATTATTCACTGTATTCTTTTCTTTGCTTTATTAAGGCTACTAACAAAATATAACTGGAAATCCTACAAGGGAAGTCATTGCTAGATGAGTGAATAAGAGCTTGGAAAGTATGCTTTCAACTGACACCAGAGGGAAAGAAAATGTTGGATTGTAGCTAACGTGCCTTTAGGATCTTAAATGTAGCCAGAATTTTAAATGCACAATTTGGTTCATAGTGAAAGGAAACATAAAAAGTATCATGATAGATTGTGTTTTTCTGACTACAAATTCTAAAGCTTTATTTGTTATGGGTTATACATAATAGAAGAGAAGCAGACAGTGTATCATATTTTTAGAACTAGAGCAAAGCAGGAAAATGATAGCGGTCTAATGATGTTGTTCAATATGTGATTTAAAATTGAGATGAGCTATACTTGCATTTGAATAGCAAAATGGCTTTCACTTTTCTATCTGGCTATAGGCCAGAATAGCAAAGTGAAAACAGAATTGTAAACTATTTTAGAATTTGCTAACTAAATTCTTAATTGCTTCACATTAGCCCTGTAGTCAGCTTACTCTCTGTTCTTACCTTGTGATATAATTTAATTAGATCAAGGCACAGTTATGATGACTACGCTCATTTTCTTTTTGCTTTTAGAATAAAAAAAACAGCAGAGAAAGAACTACGGTTTCAGGTGAAGAGTTAGAAAGCCACTGGCTGGCAATCTTTCATACTTCTTTATCTTGGAGCATTTGCAAGATCCTTTAAACATTCTATACTGAAGAGACTATGGTGGAAAAGAGCAATGCAGAGCTGGCAGCAAGGTAAGATATTGCTATAGCTTGAGAACAGCCAACCTTCCACTGCCAGGCTCTGTCCAAAATTATGTACCCAAGGTTTTGGCTTCAGTCAGTCTGGCTGACCAGACACTGTGAAGGGCTCTCCGAGGGAAAAAAATTGAGATCTACATAAAACATATTTTAATTGGACTTCCGGACTTGCAGGAAATACAGAAAAACTTGCCACCTGGAAACAAAAACACAAAAATATGTGCTGAAAAAGGCATCATTAAACAAACTTAAAAGTAACTTTGCCTTAAATATACATGCCTGTATTAGAGCTATAGCTGGGAAACTGTCTTTGGCCAAGGGCGAAATGGGAGAAATAAATCAAAGACTCTAGGATTAATCCAGGAACTTTCCAAGGGAGATAAAATTGCCCAAGGTCAGTAGTACCTTCCTGCTTCTAATAGAAACAAACATAATTCTTCTCCAAAGGTAAGCATCCTCAATTTTATGGGTAAAGATAAGCCAAATAGAGATCAGAATCAAAGATCACTAATCATATAAGAAAATTAACCACAGTGAATTTTAGTGGAAATTACAAGCAACTTATGATATTGGAATCATCAAATAATAACTACTAAAATAACTAAGTAGATATCTTTACATTAAAAAATGAATTATGACTAAATTTAGCAAAACTCTCATGTGGTGGCTTGTGCACCCCATTATGTTCTTTCAACCCTACCTCTTCTTTAGGCACTGAAGAAGCCTTGGGACTTCTATGCCACCACACAGTGGAAAAGCACTTGGCACTCACTATCTGAAGGAATTCATGCCATGGTAACCTTCTTGACCCTTGGAAATAATTTAAATGCAGTCAAATTTGTTAATCTTTTTTCATAGTTTTTTTCTGTCTTATTTCATAAAAGTGTTCCATATCTAAAGTTTGTAATGATCTCTCTCTTTTTTTTAAAGATTTTATTTATCCATTTGAGAGAGAGAGAGAGAGAAAGCATGAGCTGGGGGCGGGGCAGAGAGAGAGGGAGAGGGAAAAGCAAACTCCCCGCTGAGCAGGGAGCCAGAGGTGGGGCTACACCCCAGGACCCTAAGATCATGATCTAAGCCAAAGGCAGACCGGTAGCTGACTGAACCACCCAGGCACCCCTGTAATGATCTCTTCTTATACTGTCTTCTAAAATTTAAAGTTTTGTCTTCTACATTTCAGTCTAATCTACTGGAATTATCATTTTGTGAGGAGATATAATTGAAAGATTTAATTTTTTTTTAAGTATGGATGATGAATTGTCCTAGTTCTTAGTATGAGTCTTAATCTGAGCTCCTCATTCTATTCAATGGATAGATTTATCTATCTCTGTTCTAATGCTATAGTGTGTTAATTAATTTAGCTTTATAATAGATCTTGATATCTGGTAGGAATATTTCTTCTCCCATTATTTTTGATCATTTTCTTTAATGTTTTCATTCCTCTTGGATTTTTGCTCTTCTATACAAATTTTAGAATTATTTGTCAAATTACTGAAATAACTATTTAGCATTTTTAAATTGAATTTAGAATTTTGTTGGAGATAATTTATATCCTTATGATTTTGGGTCTTCCTACCCTTGAATGTGAGATATATTTTTAAATATTTAAATCTTCTTTAGTATCTTTCAAAAAGCTTCAACATTTTCTCCACACTTGTCCTGTGCATCTTTTGTTAGATTTGTGTCTTTGTACCTTTTCCTTTTTGTTTCAACTATAAATGGTATCCTTCATACATTATTTTTTATAATAATATTTTATAACAAATAATAATGCAATTCTCTTTGTACACTGATCTTTTATTTAGCTACCTTGCTACAGTTTCTTACTATTCTAATATTTTTATCTATATATTCTTTGTTTTCTAGGTAGGCAATTATGCCATATGCAAATAATGAAAAATTTTTTTTCTTTCAGATACTTAGAATGTTGTGCTTGGCTACATGACTTGGTTTAGCTATTGGGAGGTTATTGAACATGATGGCAGCAGAAACTTAAAATATGGATGCACAATTGGACTGGTCTTCTGAACTCCTATCTTTAGCCTCAAGAAGACCATGCCTTGAATAACCATTGTTCCAAGGAAGATGAAAGACATGAGTTGCAGATCTGGAGTCAATCCACAGCTTGGAGCAGGCCTAGCCAAGCCCAGACTCTATCAGCCAAACCTCAGCAAAGTGAGAAATAGATGTTTATTGTGGCACATCACTGTAATTATGTGGTTGTTGTGGCAATAGCAGACTGATACAACATTGAACCTCTAGTCATGGGAGAGTGCTACTTTGTCAATAAATGTTTCTGACCACCTTACAATCTACTGCCCTTTATATTCTACCACTTCTTGTCCTATACCCTTAAAGACCACCCTCATACATAGTTTCCTGGTTCTTGCTTTTATATTTTTGCCAGATTTAGCAACTTTTTGATGTGTAAGTTATCTTCTCCCAAAGCAAGGAGGACCCCATTTGGGCTCTGCTGAGACTTGACACTATTGTTTGGCCTGTAGACAATACAGGATGAAAAGTAGATCTTGAGGAAGATAAAGCATCATCTTGCAAGGCAACTGCCTCAGGTAAGGCCTTTACAGGAAAGGGAAGGCTGCTGTCTTCTTGCAAGGGGGAAGGAACTTCTGCCAGTCAGTGGATTCAGTGAACCCTAGGTGTTCAAGATTCTCAGGCTCATCTACTCAAATGTCCCCATCATAGGTCTCTGAGTCCCACTCTTCCTGTTCCTGACTTCGACAGAGAAGAACTGTCAAGTCTGTGAATTAAGTCTCCTCTGTAGTTTTGCCACCCTTATCATTAAAGCTCAAGAAGTGTCTAAGTGCTTACTATGAATCAAACCCTGATTAACTTTCTTACATGCTTTCACTTAATCCTTTCCATATGTCTGTGGTCTGGATTACTATTATCCTCATTTTTAAAATGAGAAAAATAACATTTACAGAGATGAAGTAACTTGTATAACAATTTGAATAATCAGGTCTGTTTGACTTCAAAGCCCACACAATGATATGTGGTATGCCAATGAAAATGAATGGAGCCCAGAAATAGTTTCTTATTTTACAAAGATAAAGATTATTAAAAACCAAAAATAATTTAAATAGGTTTTTTAAAAAACTAAAGATGTTTGGAGAAAAAAATACCACCATTATAAACTGACAAAGTTAAAATGAGACAGGAGAGACATAACAAGTTGATGGGGATAGTCATTCACATAGTGGGAAAGAAATCAAGATTACTGAACAGCTATTAAATTCCAGACATTATTCTAGGTGCTTTCATATGCACCTGCTTATTTAATCTTACCAATATTCCATTGTTTTAGGCATTTCCCAGAGCTAGTAAGTGAGGGAGTCGTAATTTGGGCTTAGCTCTGACTTTGTGCCTAGGTCCTCTCTATTAGACCCATGTTAATCAAAATGTGGACCATAGGCCAGCAGCATCAGCATCACCTGAGAGGTTGTTACAGATGCAGCGTTTCAGGTGCAACCCAGACATTCTCAATCAGAATCTGCATTTTAACAAGCTCTTTAGGTGAGTTTTATGCACGTTAAAGTTTGAGAAGCACTGCATCATTGCATATAATCTTCTCAGCATGTGTGTACTGGTAGGACTTAGAAAAGTTTAACAATGGACCCTCAGGAAATTGGTCTTAAAAGAAGCTTGATAAATAGCAATAGCTGAACTCTCTCAGCGGTCTTAAAACATGATCCAAACGGGGCTTAGTTTTATGGAAGTTCTAACTAATTTTGTGTCTAGCTCTCTCCTTCATCCATGCCAGAAAGTCTCAAGTTATTTGAATAAGTTATAGTGAAGGATATTTATTAAGGAGCCTCTGTATGCTGAACACAGTTCTAGGCAAGACTAAAAAGTCAGACATGTTTCATATCCTTAAAGAGCTTTTAATATAAATGGGAAAGAGGGGCACCTGGGTGACTCAGTCGATTGAGCAGCCAACTCTTGATTTTAGCTCAGGTCCTGATCTCAGGGTCCTGAGTTCAAGCCCCATGTTAGGCTCCATGAAAAAAATCAATCATCTATCTATCTATCTATCTATCTATCTATCTATCTATCTATCTATCATCTATCTATCAAAGAAAACTCAGATGAAACCAAAAGAAAAGAACATGGAAAAAATAACAACAATGAAAAGCACATAAAAAAGTTTCTAGAATAAAGTAGGCATATAACAGAGGTATGTGTTTTAGGGGAGTTGCTAGAGGTGTCAGTGACCAGAGCCACAAGAGTTTAGATCATAAGGCTTTCTGCAAAGGAGATTCTAGTCAATGTTTTGAGGGAAGAAGAACTGTGGTTCATAAGGCAGCAAGTACTGAGGCATCTCATTAGGTGGAAATGACAAAAATAACTGCTTGGAGATGGGGCCAAGAAAACCATGATTCATATATAGAGGTGAAGATATTTGTCTAGTGAACAAAAAGCAAGTTGAGCTAAGGGTCCATGTTTGACTAAGTATGTCAAGCACAGGAAAAGAAAGTAAGGAATAGTAGAGAAGGGAAGGAAAGGAAGAAAGGAAGAATATTAAATGAGATGTATTAGTCCATCAGAGAAATAGAACCAATAAGATGAAGAGAGACAGAGATAGAGAGAGAGAGACGGAAAGAGAAGAGATTTATTGTAAAGAACTGCCTTATACAATTATGGGGTTGGTCAATCCAAAATTTGTAAAGCAGGCTGGAAGACTAGAAATTCTGGCAAGAGTTGATGTAGTCTCTTGGTATAAAGGCAGACTGGAGGCAGAATTGCTTCATCTAGGACTTCAGTCTCTTTTCTTAAGGCTTTCAACTGACTGCGTGGAGCTCACTCACATTATGCAGCATCAGTGCTTTACTCAAAGTCTACTGATTTAAATGTTAATTACATATAACAAATATTTTCATAGCAACATCTAGACTGGTGTTTGACCAAACAACCGAGCACCACAACTTAACCAAGTTGACACATCAAATAATCATCATAGCATATGTAAAGGCACAAAAATTGCTTAAGGTGTCCTTCTAGGGCTGGTGGAATAGGGTGATTGCAGCCAATGTTGCTGCAAACATCTTTGGTGTAAGGTATGCCCAGTGAGTCTGAATGAAATTAAACTATTGTTATAATTAGAAAATGTGTTTTTTTTTTTTTTAGAAAATGTGTTTTAACTGTATTTTGATTATTAGTAGATTTTCAGTGTCAGTATCACCGACATTGACATGACATCCCCCATGTTATTCAGCAAAATTAGGGTTCTTTATTCAGTTCTGGACATCATGATTTGAACAAAGTAGAGCTCATCCAGAATAGGATGTCCAGAATAGTTTACTCTTGAAATAAGAAATTTAGGAAGATTGAATGGTTGATTGTTAAAATAACACAAAAGGAAGTTAAACATTCTGTGTTGCTCCAGAGTTCTGCTTAGGACCCATGGGTAGGAAGTACATCATGTAAGTAGAAGTTCCTGGCAAACAGAAATTCATAGAGTGAAGCCAACTATCCCGAAAGGCCTTCCTGGAAGCAGTGACCTGACTCTTGCTTACGCTCCCTCAGAGGTACCATGAGGTAGGATTTCAGGTTGCCTATTCTGCCTCTAAGATACTGGGATTTGAAAGCTGTTCTTTTGCTTAGTCATTCTGCTGCCATGTGTGTACTGGTCCTTGGCTAAATAAATATTTGGACATGAACAATGTAAAAAGGAACCAGAAGATGTTGGGTACAGTTATCTGCTCTTTTGATTTCCATGTTTGCTTTTAGTTCTGCAGCTAAAAAAGTGAGTGGAGTGGTGGGTCATTTTTATTTCCTTTATGCTTTTCTGTATTTTCCAAATTTTCTACAATGAACGTGTATTAATGTTATTTTTAACAAAGCAAAGAGAGTGGGTACAAGGCTACAGTCTACTTTACGTTGACCACAAATGAGCCTGTGTATAGAAGCCTTTCCGGCCCTTAGAATAGTGCAGGGGTCTGTGAGACAGCAGCTGGGAGACAAGAGGAGCCAGAACTTGGCATAACCTCTTATTTTTTAAAAAAAGTCTCATCGTGGTTTTGACCGGTATTTTTTAGCATACAGCTATTCCAGACCCCCTATTTTTGAGCAGATTCACAATACCAAAATGAACATGTGATTTCGCTTTCCTTTCTGAAGTTGGAAATGCCCCAAACTCAATGTCTCAGGGAGGGTGTGTCAAGGAGGTAAAACCTCAAGGGTGGTAGAGATTCTGCTCAATGCTTCCTTTCCTGTGATATGATGGGAGGTCAAGTCAGCAGGGAGGGTGAGGCCATGCAGGCTGCAGTGGGGTACAGTTGGGATATGGAGGTTAGCTGAGTGGAAAGCTTCTAGGGAAAGGCAGAGTGCGTGTTCATTTCTGGTTGGAGAGATCACCAGCCAGCTATGGAAACCCACTGCAAGGAAGCGAGGCTACACTGAGACCAAGGCCTTTGTATCTCCCTCTACTGCAGGTGAGCTTTACAAACTCCTCCCCTAAGGATGGCCAACACAGGTCACTGTGACCTGTTGTTTTCTTTTGGAAAGACACCTTGCTGGAGTTACAGTGACATGAGAACTTGAGCACTAGTGTCTGGTAGATTTTACTGCTAACTACGTGTTCATAAATCCCAAAAAAGACTTCCAACAACAGATTGCATTAGGACCCGAGAGAGCTATTGGCACTAGAAGACTGAAACTCTTCTTAAGAACAACAAAGTTTTACTCTTATAAAATCTCCCCAATTGGTCAACTAAAATGTGGCTGTGACTTTTCAAGCTCCCTGACTCAGCATCAAATGGAACTAATAAATTGGCCAGTAATCTCAATCTTGTTCTCTTGATCCACCAGAAAAAGCCAAGCTAACGTTTATTTCATTTATCATTTATATAGTATATGAAGAAGCATGAATTTAAACTTTGAAAAATTCATTCAAGACTTTTCTTCATTAAGATGATGAGGCATTAAAAGAATAAATCAGATTAGAAAATTCCACCACATTGCCAAGATCAGAGCTGAAGAGAGCAATTTCTGTCCTTTCTCTGGTGTAAGGATGGGCTGATTGTTTTCATGCTAAGGCTGAGATCTGTATGCCAACCAGAGGATGAAATTTAAAGGGGGGTGAAGTTAGAGAAAGAAGATGAAGTAATTGTAACTCTCTCTCTGTCTTATTTCTGATGTGGCTTAGGGCTAAAACCTGTGATTGCCCACCTTTGCCAAGATACTGCTTTTGTTGCTTAGTTTACTATTGATGGTTCTGATAATATGGATCTCTCCATACAGACAAAATTGTGAGTGTTAAATTTGTTAATATAT